ACACAACTGTTAATTTGTTTTAGTAGTAGTATTTGTAGTATATTTTACTTAAGGGATTACCAATTTTTAATAATTACGTTGTTAATACCATGTCTTTTTGGGCATGTCAAGAAGAAGTTCATAACAATTTGAAAGTCATAAACTATTTTAAATTCTTTTTTAAGTACTAAACAACATACATTGTAGATTTTAAGGATAATACAATATCTACAATACCTCAGAGAAAAACTCTTGTTCTTCTCAAATTTGTACCATTTACTTATTACCATTTAAAGATGAATTGGAAGTGGTAGATGAATGTTTAATGGTGAATTCACAATGTTATAGGTCAGAGTTATTTATACATGTAATATCTGTCCATGTTATTTAGTTAACAAACTTTGACTATTTCCATTGTGTTATGTCAACCAATTTTTATTTTCTGGAAGAATATTTTATCGTAACTGCATCAGTACATAGGTGAAAAATGTGACTATTAGTGTAAATGTGATTGTTTATCAGTTCTTTATATTAAAAGAAAAAGTTTGAAATGTTCAAGGTGGCACAGAATTTTAAAAACAAAATTAAAGGCCCCTTTTCAGTTTTAAATTATCAAAAATGAATTATATTTTTTAATTTTAATACTACAAATTTTTTACACTTGTGTTGTAATTGCAATGATATATAATAAAGAAATTTTAAAATAGTTAATTTTTTAATACCAATAAATTGAAATTATGTGCTTTTATGTAAGATGTCTTAAGATATTTTGTTATTTAAAATTGTAGCCAGACTTCTTATTATTATGATAAGAAAAGTTAAGTTAACTTTGACAGTTCGGCTATTTGTGAATGCTAAAAGCTGGCATGTAAATTATTTATATGGTAATACTTATACAATGAAGTTACGAATGTATTTGATGATGCATACAAATATTTGGTTACGTGCCTAAGTAAATTAATAATGTTATGTATGTTTTCAAGTTATTAATGCACTTTGTTTTTTATTCTGTAGTATTACAGAAAGCATTTAATCAGCAATCACAAAATACATGTGTATGTGATCTTCTATATGTACTTGTTTCATCTTAAAGGATTTAACCTGTTTCCAAAATTTTATTATATTGTGAACCATCTTTTATAGTTTCAGGTATTATTCGACTAACGTTTTTTGTTAGCATATTTCTTTTCTTACACGTATGGCAAGTCATCTTCCGTTAAGAATACATATAACTTTATTCAGACAGTCAGATTATGACCCCAACACTTTATATTGTAAGCTTTCAAAATTATATCTATATACACTAAAATGCAAGTTTGAGAATCCTGTAACATTGCTTTAACATAATTAGCATTTCAATTAAACCAATAACTACCGATCAGAGTAGTTGACCAACAGAGACAGAGCTTAATCGGCTGTAGGCTTTTCCTAAGATTAATGTGGTAACATTTCAGAAAATTTAAACTTTGATATATTTTTACAGTAAAGTATGCATTGTGAAAAGTGTATCTTATGAAAAATACTTTCTGATAGAATTTGTAATGCCATGGGTGACATTTTACTTTGAGACTTTAAATACTCATTGATACGAGATGTTACTTTATAATACTAGCAGAAACTGTATATCTCATAAAAAAAACAAATGTTTCAGAAATAAATGCACATTGACAACAACAATACATGGATCTAGCCTTTTTTAATTAGTTTTGAGTCCAAAGAACAGGATCATATAGTTAAGTTCTAACCTACATTTCAATTTATATGCATTCTGAGGAAGTAAATAATTACTGACAGTAGAAGTGTTAAGGGGCTCAACCATTTCTCCATGGGTGGCCATTAGCAACTGATGTTAAAGTGTTTGTTTAAATGAAATTGTAGCAAAACTAAAGAACAAATTACAATAACCAACATTCACATAGTTAGAGATCAAATCCATGTTGTCATCATAGCTATATATGGAAATAATGGCTGTTCTATTAATAAATCAACCAAAATAAGTGGATTTTTTATCCATTAATACATATATGTTCATCAATATATTAAAAAAAGTGTTTTGTTTGGTGATCGGTAAAATAATTGGTAATCAGTCATTGGTAGTTTTTCTTAGCAGAAAAGACTGTTAATATAGCATAACATACAGACAAAGGGGCTGTTTGGTTCTTCATAGCTATCCTTGCATTGAGAAAATTTAAACTCACTCTCTTTTGTTTTTTAATTCAGGAAATTATATTCCAAACTTTGCATTTACACAGAATTCTGTTATATACACGCAGGAAATTTTAATAAAATTAAAAAATAATAGCACTACAATTCTAAAATGCAGATTTAATGAGACCTACTAGTTCAAATTCTTAATTTTTATTTTTTTTTAATGTAGTGTAAGGTTAAAATATATCACTACACCAGGCCTCGACAAATCCTGGGCACCGTTGCACTAAAAATTTCATCATGGTGCCTAGTAAATAGCACTTGATTCTGTAACAGTTTTGGACTCTAGGAAGTCCAAAACTATTTTCACATTCTTTGAGTCGTAAATCAAACTTTGTTTCTAGGATTTTAATGGCAAATCCAGCACTTCTTCATGTTTCTTTTTCAGGAATAAAGTGCTGTGGTTGCACAACATGTTACTAATTTTGTGCCATTTTGTTTTTCTTCTTTTTCTCAATTCAACCAATCAGTGTGCATGTTTAGACTCAGATGGGACCAAAGGCAGTTAGTTCAGACAGTGCTATCAAGTGGTTGTTGATATCACGTGATCATTAGTATGCCCTTGTTGCTATGAGAGTAAATGAATATACATAGCCCCCATTTCCTGGTACAAACAGTAGTGAAGTTACGTTAGGCACACCAAAAGGCCTTTCCTTATCGTTGTACAGTGTTGTAGTGATGAGTAGATTAGACCTACTCTGAAACAACCTGCTTGACCTATCGATATTGCAGTGATTATTTTTACTTTTATTCATTGCAAGAATCCACCTAAGTTATAGTTATTTATTCTCCTATTTTAATAATGGCTCATATTGAAGTTTAATATATAGTGAAGTTTAATAATGAACCCTTTGTTTTTCAGTGTAAAACTGCATGTCTCATACCATAACCACACAACCGACTCAAAATGTATTCCATAATTTTTCTATATTAGACGTGGCTCCTAAGTTTTTGAGCTAGCTCCTAGATCTGAAAATATTTGTCGAGGCCCTCACTACACCAAGCATCCTCTTAAAATAAATGACTGGGATGTATATTTCCAAAAGCCATCAGTGTGTGGTAAAAAGTGAATTAACATTCTGTTAGATCATGTCCCTTCTCCATTGAGAATTTAAAGCATTATCAGGATAATAAAACTAATTGCATCTGATTATGCAATAGGTTTTCTTATAACGTTTTCTCTACTGGGTTTCAAGCTATATAAGGTGAAGCTATAATAATTAAAACTTGTATCACAGAGTATATTAATGTTATTTTAACTTTTACTTTTTAGGTTACTTTAAAACAATATTAAGTAATCAAAATATTATAGTGGAAGGCTATCTTCTTTCATGTAAAAAACAAATACTAAAAATTTGGTTACAGTGTTACACAGCTAATTTTTAAAAGGTGAGTGCATATAATACTATCATCATGCCAAACAATATTACAGCAGCTAGCTTGGAGAAGTTAAATAGTGTCGTTAACACAATAAAACTAAATTATTTATATTAAGTAATTTATATGGACTATGATCACATCTTTTTTAGTTTTTTTAATGCACGAGAGCTCAAGCTTTCGGCTCAGTTACCTAAGCCTTCTACAGGTGCGAGACATTTAGTAAACAACTGGATGTAACTAAATTATGTAAATATACTTTCTAGTTTTATTCTTACTGATTCCCTAACGATTTTCAAATCTTGTAACACAAAGTTATAATTATAAAATAAATTGACATTATACTAGTTTGACTTGTTATTTGGCTTTGAATTTAGATTACTGGAAAAATATACAAAAGACTCGGTTTTTACTTTGACTAAGTACACAGTTGTCTAATAAATGAACTGAGCTGTGATTTTTTGTTTCCCTTGTTTGGTTACAAAACATTTGAGAAACTGCATAGTTATTGATACAACACTTAAGGCTTCATTATTGTTGAAAACACATTTAAGTACATTTAAAACATAATGAATTGTCTAGAATGACACATCTGGAAAATTGAATAAATCTTTCATTGTTTCTAAACATTTAACAGTACAGGAGTTTAATGTAAAGCTTTGGGATATCCAGTATCAAATATACCATTGTGCATGGTGTTGCATGTTAGGTATTAGGCACTCTAGGCAATACGTTACTGTTGCATATTAATCAAGATGTGGTTACAAGAGGATGGGGAACATTTAGAAAAGTGTAATCATTACATTATGTTTGAGGTTTGCTACCTGTTGAAGTAAAAAAAAACATGAGTTTTTTGTTTCTAATTTTTATAAAGCCATAGGACTAAATTTATCATTAGTGAATTGGGATAATATGCTAAAGGTTGGTACAGGAAATAAAAAGAATTGCTTCTAATTAAAGATAGATTCCTAACAAGAGGAAAAGTATAGCAGGGAAATTCAAGCCCAATTGACTTAATAAGGACACAAGAGAGAAACTCAAGGATAAATATTGCACGTTTAACTTCACTAATAGGATGGAAGATGTAAGGAACTATACAAAAGCATGGAACGAGGTTGCAAAAGGATTTAGGAAATCAAAAGTAGCTGGCTAGGTGATTAGTGGTATTTGTTAATTGATTAATCAACAGGCTCATTAATTTATTACA